TTTTTTTTTTTTTTTTTTTTTTTTTTTTTTTTTTTTTTTTTTTTTTTTTTTTTTTTTTTTTTTTTTTTTTTTTTTTTTTTTTTTTTCTTTTTTTTTTACATGAGACTTTTGAACAGATGTTTAGTTTACCTGTATGTGAAAAATGATAGTCATTACTCTGGTTAACAATTTATAAAATTTTTGTGGTTTAGCTTTTTTTTTTTTGATGCATTTTGGCTAAACAAGCAAGATTTAAATAATTAAATACTTAATAATTCAAATTTTGCATCACTTGAGGTTGTTTATCTGGCATTTCCAGCCAGCAGAAATATAACCTAAAACCAGAAAGCTAAGTCCCAAAATCCTTAAACTCACATAATTATAAGAAAGATTCCCTGGGCCTGGCTGGGTGACTCAGTTGGTTGAGCGTTGTCCTGTGTACCAAAAGATTGCAGGTTTGATTCCCAGTCAGGGCACATACCTAGGTTGTGGGTTCGATCCCAGTTGGCATGTGCATGGAAGGCAACTGATGTGTCTGTCTCTCTCCCTCTCTTCCCCTCCCCCCCTTCCTGTTTCTAAAATCAATAAAAACATATTCTCGGGTGAAGATTAAAAAAAAAAGAAAGGTCCCCTGGTTGTCAGCTATTATAGTGCTTCTCAAACGATCTTTGATGAATAACCAGTTCATCACTAATTTATCATGGGACATTAATGTTTTTGAAATAACTGTTGAGGTATAATTTACGTATCATAAAAGTCACCCATTTTAAGTGTACAATTCAATGACTTGTAATAAATTTACTGAGTTCTACAACCATAACCACAATCCACTTTTAGAACATTTTTATCACCTCAGAAAGGTGCTCATTTACAGTTAATCCCCATTGCCAGCCTCAGCCCCAGGCAAGTATGAACCTACTTTTTGTTTCTGTAGATTTTCCTTTTCTGGACATTTCATATACATGAAATCACAAAGTATGTGGTCGTTTATAACTGGATTCTTTCACTTAGCATAATGTTTCAGAGTTCATGTTGGAGCGCGTAGCTGTACTTCATTCCTGTTTATGGCTGAATAGTATTTCATTGTATGGACAGACCACATTTTGTTTATCCATTCATCAATTGATGGACATTTGGGTTTGTTTCCACTTTTTGGCTATTATAATTAATGCTGCTATGAATATTTGCGTGCAAGTCTATGTGCAGACTTACATTTTCATTCTACTAGGAGTGAATTGCTGTGTCATACAGTAAATTTATGTTTCACTTTTTAAAGAAACTGCCAAACTAGTTACCAAAGTAGTTGTGCCACTTTACAGTTGCATCAGAAGTGTCTGAGGGTTAGTTTTCTACATTCTTGCTAACACTTGTTACTGTCTTTGACTGGAGCTATCCTAATGAGTTTGATGAGGTTTCTCACTGAGGTTTTAATTTACATTTCCCTAATGACTAATTATGTTGAGCATCTGTTCATGTGATTACTTTTTTTAATAATATGCAATGAAAACAAATTTTAGGAAAAAGAAATGAAAAACATGTACAAACTATAAGCCCCAATTTTTTTATTATTAGAATTAACAGACATAATCAGAAAAAAACAGTATAAGAAAAAAAAAATTCAAAATCTATGCATGTTTTTCATGGAAAGTACATATATTGACAGTTAATATAGAAAAATCACGCTTATGCTTAAATTGTTCCACAAAGTCATAACAAAACAAAAAAATTAAGAGTAAAATAACAATTTCATATACGTTTTGAAAAGAAATCTTTTATTTATAGTTTATATTTATATTGTATTTATGATATCTTGTATTTAGAATTATTTTTTAAATTTATCTTTATTGTTGAAAGTATTACAGATATCCCCTTTTTT